AATTATTATTGGTTGGAGCACGCGATCATGAATTTTTATGATGATCTGATCAATAACGCGTTCGAATACATATAAATAATCCATATTTCCCACACTTTCTTTTTACACCCTTCATTTTTTTTTTACGTTGTTTTATAAATTTTAATATCATAATAATTTTAATACAGTCAGTCCACCGAACGACTTATAGTCTTCTTTATCACCTTTTTACTTTAGTATTTTATTTTGACGTTCTGATTTTTTTCAGTTTTATTAAAAACAGTCCATATTATTACGCGTAAATTTGTTTTTGGTTCGACCATCTTAAATATCAAACTTATTTTAACGGCGAGCGTGTCACAACATTCAACAAGACGTTTAGGTTATAGAGAGTGTTTGGAGCAAGAAATTTCGAAAGTTCCTGGTTTTACGAAGACAAGATCACACGTTTGAAAATTTTTTTGGTCTTGAAGAAGTGCAACTTATGTCACCAAACGATTACAACAAAAAAAAAAAAAATAGAACTCGACAACTTCTACTGGTACAGATGATAAATATCCACTGGAATATTTCGTATTACTGATGAATACGCCAAAACGATGAAGAGATTCAAAAAAAAGAAAGGATTCTAATTTAGGTAATTAATTATACATACTCAGTATACCCCTCTGAATTTTGCGGCAAAGGTGTTCCAGAAGGGGTGACGATCCCTGAAAGTATGTAAGTCTCAAGGTACATAGGTTGATCCTGTGTGCCTAGAGCAGTCCCTTAATGGGTGGACAAAGATAGCGGAAATTCAGAGGGTTTTTATTTAATTACCTAGTATACCCTGTATTTTGCGGCAAAGGTGTTCCAGAAGGGGTTCCTACCCCAGAAAATACATAAATCTTAGAGGCGTCAATTGTTATCAATTGAAGGCGGTGGAGTGTCCCTTAATTGGGTGGACAAAGATAGCGGGAATACGGGGGTTCTATTGCAGGGGCCCATGTGATTTATACTAACTCATTTATTATTACATAATTTTGTAGTGAGTTATAATGGACTCATTCGAATTGCCTTTTGGGTTGATTTTTATAATTGAAATCAAAAGATTATTTATTCTATTTGTTGAATTCAAGCAATCGTGCCAACGATCAGGATCTGAGGAGATGATCTTTAAATACATATTAGTGATACAGTTCAATAGGTTTTCTTTTCTGAAAGACAATTATGTAAAATTTTTGATTTCACTAAATAAATATAATTTTAATTTACGCATTACGTGAATTATATTTCCCTTTACAAAGAGAATTCTGTTTAGTTGTTAATTTTATTCAGATTTGTTCATTGTAGTTCTAAAATGTAAAGATTTTTAAAATATTATTACATTCTATATTTCTATCGGCTTATAATAAAAAAACTAAAAACATGTATGTATATAATTTTCTTCGAAATCAATGAATCCGATTAAACCTCTAATACAATAAATTATTCGCCAGCCCTAATAGGGCAATTAAATAAAAA